TGGAAATGGGGGGCGGGGGGGCAGAGAAGGCTTATTAGTCTGTTAAATCATTCTTCTTCTGAGATACGGAGTAGTGTAGGACATCCTAGCATCTTCCACTGATCCTTGCACGATTTCGCCGTAACCAAAGCCAATCTCTTCTTCTTCAAAGCAGGATATTGATAGTAGGTGACAGTTAAAAAGGGCAGCCACAACCAGTGTTCCCTCTAAGCCGAGTTAGTGTGAGCTAGCTCACAGTTTTTTTAGCCTCTGGCTCACGCATTTTTGTCTTGGCTCGGGAAGGGACGGCTCCAGAGCAAACTAATTGGTGCAGTTAGTCAAATTGCTCGCTCAGAACTTTGATGCTGGTAGCTCACAAAGTAGACGTTTTTGCTCACAGCACTCCACAGCTTAGAGGTGAGCACTGGCCACAACACCAGACAGAATGTTGTGGGGACCAACTTGGCTGCCGCATAAGTTAGTTTGCTCTGGAGCCCTCCTTCCTGAGCTGAGACAAAAATGTGTGAGCTGGAGGCTCAAAAATTGCGAGCCGGCTCACACTAACTCAGCTTAGAGGGAACACTGGGACACGGCAAAAGCAATTTAAAATACTGCCAATTATTGGGCTCTTGTTTTTTTAAAAAATACTCTCTTTTTAGAGTAAACAAAAAAACAACAAATACTTATAAATGCCCAATATCCATAAACTAACAACACAACCACGCTATATAAAAAAAGGAACAGTTCTACATAGTAAAATGTCCTAAAGGTAAAGGTTTCCCTTGCTCGAAAGCCAGTTGAATCCGACTCTAGGGTTGCGGTGCTCATCTCCGTTTCCAAGCCGAAGAGTCGGCGCTGTCCGAAGACGTTTCCGTGGTCATGTGGCCGGCAGGACTAAACACCAAGGCGCTGAGGATATATTCAGGTGGGGCAGCCGTGTTGGTCTGAAGCAGCAGAACAAAGTTTGAGTCCGGCGGCATCTTCAAGACCGACAAAGTTTTATTCAAAGTATAGGCTCTCACGTGCATGCACACTTCTTCACAAGAAGTGTGCATGCACACAAAAGCTTATACCTTGCATAAAACTTTCTAGCTGGGGATAAACATTGCCCATCAAAATGGTTGACCCAAGACCATAATGGAAACACAATACCCCGACCCGGATGGCCCAGGCTGGTCCGATCTCATCAGATCTTGGAAGCTAAGCAGGGTCGGCCCTGGTTGGTATTTGGATGGGAGACCACCGAGGAAGTCCAGGGTTTGCTATGCGGTGGCGGAATTCCAAAGGTTGCCCACAGGCTCAAAAAAGGCCGGGGACCCCTGATCTAGTGCATCTTCCCCAATCCAAACCCTCCACCCTGAAGCACCGGTTGGCCCCACAAGGGAAGTGGGAAACTTGCTAGGTAAGGCAAAGGGAGCTGAGGGAGGTCGAACTCTATGACTGCTTTGAAGGGTTTTTTTTAAAGGAGACCCTAACCCTGACTATCCCAGAAGAAGAAGAAGAGGAGAGATTGGATTTATACTCCGCCCTTCACTACCCGAAGGAGTCTGAGAGCGGCTTACAAACTCCTTTCCCTTCCCCTCCCCACAAAAGCCACCCTGTGAGGTAGGTGGGACTGAGAGAGCTCTTGACAGAAACTGCTCTTTTTTCAAGAACAGCTCTGATCAGAACTACGGCTTGCCCAAGGTCATCCAGAAGAAGAAAAGATTGGATTTATACTCCGCCCTTCACTACCCGAAGGAGTCTGAGAGCGGCTTACAAACTCCTTTCCCTTCCCCTCCCCACAAAAGCCACCCTGTGAGGTAGGTGGGACTGAGAGAGCTCTTGACAGAAACTGCTCTTTTTTCAAGAACAGCTCTGATCAGAACTACGGCTTGCCCAAGGTCATCCAGAAGAAGAAAAGATTGGATTTATACTCCGCCCTTCACTACCCGAAGGAGTCTGAGAGCGGCTTACAAACTCCTTTCCCTTCCCCTCCCCACAAAAGCCACCCTGTGAGGTAGGTGGGACTGAGAGAGCTCTTGACAGAAACTGCTCTTTTTTCAAGAACAGCTCTGATCAGAACTACGGCTTGCCCAAGGTCCTCCAGCCAGGTGCAAGTGGCAGAGTGGGGAATCAAACCCGGGTCTCCCAGATTAGAGTCCGCGCATTTAACCACTACACCAAACTGGCTCCCACATCGTGTTCTTCAGCCCTCATCTTCTTCGACCCTCAGTGTCAGAAGCAAACTTCATCTTATACACAATAGCTCTGAGTTAGGTACAATTTCTACCAGCTGCAATACTTACAGATCCTGAAGATCTTTGACTTCTTGTGCAACTGATATCTGAGGGGGGAGAAAAGCATATAATGGATTGTCAGATGGGACAGATGCGTGAGGTAAATACTGATTGGCGACACCCACAGTTAAGGCTAAAGGCCGCAAGCCAACGAGCCATTTACTGACAGAACTAACGGAACTGACTGGGCTAGCATCAGGATCGGCTCAGCGTACCGAACAACGTTCTGGTTGGAGTTAGAAGAAGGGAAGAGAGCAGATCAATTTTAATTTTCTTCTCCTCCCCTGGATTTTACTCCAAATCAATGGCTGGTGCAGTCAGAAAATACAGCATATTGAGATCTCCCAGATTGCAATGCCAGAACGAAGAGCTAAGAACACCAGTCTGGTCCTTCTGCAAATGGTCCCATTTTGCCACTCATCTCTGGGGACTTGGGAGGGGAGCGGGAAAAGTTCATGGGCAGGGGGCCTTCTCCGTGGTGGCCCCCCCCAACTTGCGGAACGGCCTGCCCGTGGAGGTCAGGCAGGCTCCCCCCTCTCCTGGCTTTCGGCAAATTGTGCAAAACTGAATTATTTGAGAGGGCTTTTCTACAGAGGCGATAGATTCGCACGGCGCTAAACGTTCCACAAAGGTACTTGGAAAAATTATTAGAGACTGTGGTCTGTACCACTATGGATAGCTTGCTGAAACTAGGATCCCGGCTATGGAATTTTGCATCATTTAACGTGGTCTGTTAATATTAATACTTCGCTACAGTTCTGTTTTTAGACTTCTGGCTGGTTCAGTGGAACTGGCTTCCTCGGGAGGTGGCGAGCTCTCCTCCTTTGGGGGCTTTCAAACAGTGGCCATTTGACAGCAATGCTGATGCTGTGAACTCAGGCAGATCACGAGAAGGGAAGGCAGGAAGGGTTGCCTCAGTGTTTAGTTCTCCTGGCCCTTTCTTACACGACCATGGAAATGCCGGCTGCCACGGTGGGGTCAGGAAGGAATTGTTCTCCAGGCCAGCTTGGCCAGGGATCCTGAAGGCCCCCCCCCCCTTTTGGGCATACAGCAGGGGTCACTGGGTGTGTGTGTGGGTATTTGTAAATATCCTGCATTGTACAGGGGGTTGAAATAGATGACCCTGGATTCTATGATTCTACAACCCTAACGAACATGAAATTGAGCCAACTTCAGAGGACGGCGGAAGACAGGAGGGCCTGGCATGATCTGGTCCATGGGGTCGCGAAGAGTCGGACTCGACTGTGCGACTGAACAACAACAACCCTAATCCCTATTTATTTTATTTACCTTTTAATTCTATATTTATTTATTTGGGGGATTTTTATTAGAGACTGTGGTCTATACCAATGCTCCCTCTAAGCCGTGGAGTCTTGTGAGCAAAAGTTCTAGTTTGTGAGCTACTGGCATTAAAGTTGTGAGCGAGCCATTTCGCTACTGCATAAATCAGTTTGCTCTGGAGCCCTCCTTCCTGAGCGAAGACAAAAACGGGTGAGCCGGAGGCTAAAAAACTCTGAGCTAGCTCACACTAACTCAGCTTAGAGGGAACACTATACCACTGTGATTTTTATTCCCAAAATGGGCTCTGAGTGGATCACGACGAATCGAGTCAAAGACTCGTTACAACAAAATCACGCTAAAACCATAAAAACAACAAACGATAAGATTGGCAGCAGCACTATAAATCTGGTGGGCCACAAGGTGGAATCAGGTGGGCCCTTCTCAGCAGGGTGGGAACGAAACATTTTTTACCGAATGTCCCACCTTCCTGAGGGGACCGACTCACTCTGCGTCATCCGCTTTGAGACCCAGTTTAGAAATGTGGACTACAAATAATGCAAATAAATAGATATTATCTAGGATCTGACAGCAAACGCGCCGAAAGTAGGAAAGGCCAACAACAGATTACCCTGGAGGTCCCTTCCAACTCTTATGATTCTATGAACTGACCTGGCTGCAGGGGTCATTTCCTGCAGGCGCGCAGAGGAGCGGAGCTCCGGCAGTAAAGAGCCCAGGGGGCGGGGCACATGCAACAAGCCCCACCCCCTGCTCCCAGCAGCCCTCAGTCAGAGCAAGAAGCAGCCAGGTAAGTTGCAGAGACACCCCCCACCCCGACCCCCTGGTCCAAAACAGGCCAGTGGCACTTTTAAGACCAAGCTTTATTCAGGTACAAGCTCTCCCTCCTCTGCGAGGGCAGATCTGCATGTTCCCCTCCCCCCAGCTAGCAATCCAAAACAGTCCAGTGGAGCCTGAGCAGTGGGTGTTGCCTTCTGACACACGTCCGGTGACGTCAGGGGGTGTGGCATATGCAAATATGTTATGCTAATGAGTTATGCTAATGAGCTCGGTTGTTCAGTCTTCAAGCGGTAGCTGGATGAAGACTTGTCAGGAACGCTCTAGGCTGATCCGGCACTGAGCAGAGCGTTGGACTACATGGCCTCTTTGGCCCCTCCCAACTCTATGATTCTATGACTCTCAAATGCTTATCCCCTGGATATCGTAGTGGTCTCTATGGTGCTACTGGACTCAAATCTTGCGCGTCTACTGCAGACCAACACAGCCGCCCACCTGAAACAATCTTGAGCGTGTTGACTTGGGAAGAACTTCCACAGAGTTCCACAGGGATCTCTCCGAGTTCAGGGCACACAGCAGTGAAAACTCACAGTACCTCGTGTGTCACATGACCAGGCCTGGACCACCATTTCAAGTTTCGCCATTCCCAAATTCAAGAGCTCCTGACAGCCTCGGTCAGGTCCCCCCCAAATATGCATTTTGAGTCTCTGAAAGATCAAATCATGATGGGTTTTTAAAATTAGAATTTGTGCTGCTGTTACCCTGAACTGGGTACGAGTATAACCCAAAATCTGCTCTGCAGGGGGAAATGGTCCTGTCTTTCCTGTTAAGAGCCCTCTCATCAGCAGAGGAGGAGGAGGAGGAGGGAAAAAAGGAGAAGGTGGAGAAGGAGGAGAGAAAGGAGAAGACAAAGAACAAGGAGAAGAAAGAGAAGGAAGAGGGGGGAGGAGGAGAGTTGGATTTATACCCCCGTCCTTCACTACCCAAGGGAGTCTCAGAGCAGCTTACAATCGCCTTCCCGTCCTCTTCCCCACAACAGGCACCCTGTGAGCAATGCTCCCTCTAAGCTGTGGAGGCGTGTGAGCAAAAATTCCATTTTGTGAGCTACTGGCATTAAAAGTTGTGAGTGAGCGATTTGGCTACTGCGTAAATTCGTTTGGTCTGGAGCCATCCCTTCCCGAGCTAAGATAAGAATGTGTGAGCCGGAGGCTAAAAAACTGTGAGCCGGCTCACACTAACTCAGGTTAGAGGGAACACTGCCTGTGAGGTCACTGGGGCTGAGAGAGCTCTGAGGGAACTGTGATTGACCCAAGGTCACCCAGCTGGCTTTATGTGGAGGAGGCGTGGGGAATCAAACCCGGTTCTCCAAATCGGAGTCCACTGCTCTTAACCACTACACCAAACCAGTATACCACGGTGGTGCCGAGCCCAGTTGCCCCCTGCAAGCGTCCCGCCGGCGGCTGGCCTGCTTTACCTGAGCGTCCTTCTCAAGCTGGGCCTTCCCTACATCTTCTTTTAGAGCCTCTACTTCCTGTGTCAAGTCCTTTTTCAATGACAAAAACAGACAAGGTTGGACAATGGAGACGACAACAAGCCCCCCCCCAATGAGAAAAACAAAATGGATGCAAACATATCGCAAGAATGCCAACCGCACACAAGAAGCCCCATTAATGTCACGCGGAAGGAGGGTGTGCAGCACGCGGGGAAACCGGAGGCCTACCTGGACCGTCTTCTCCTTTGTTGTCACTTTTAGGACTTCGGCCTGCAGGAGCTCCTCCACTGATTTGATCTTCCCATCCTTTTCGCTGATTCTGAGGGGGAAAGTTGAAGAAGAAGCACGAGGGGGTAAGAGCTCGTCTGGGGACAGACACGCCCTCTAGTGCAGGGGTCTCCAACGTGGTGCCCACGAGCCCCATAGCATCCATAGACACTTTTTCTGGTGCCCATCAAGTGTTTTTAGAAAGAAGAAAAAGAAGAAGAGGATAAATTTGTACCCTGCCCTTCACTACCCAAAGGAGTCTCAGAGCGGCTGACAGACTCCTTTCCCTTCCCCTCCCCACAACAGACACCCTGTGAGGGAGCTGGGGCTGAGAGAGCTCTCTCGAGAACTGCCCTTGAGAGAACAGCTCTGAAAGAGTTTGTAACTGACCCAACGTCACGGCAGCAGCTGCATGTGGAGGAGTGGGGGGGGGGAAACCTGGTTCTCCCAGATTAGAGTCCGTGCTCCTAACCACTACACCAAACTGGCTCACAAAGTGGGTGGGGCCAGTGGGGGTTTTGCCCAGCAAGGTGTCTAAATTGGCTGTGCACAGGCATCATTTCCTGCAGGAGCACACAGGAGCGGAGCTCCAGCAGTAAAGAGCCCAGGGGACGGGCACATGCAACAAGCCCCGCCCTCTGCTCCCAGCAGCCCTCAGTCAGAGCAAGAAGCAGCCAGGTAAGTTGCAGAGCCCCCCCCCCCGGTCCAAAACAGTCCAGTCGCACCTTTAAGACCAGGTTTTATTCAGGTCCAAGCTCTCCCTCCTCTGTGAGGGCAGATCTGCACGTCCCCCCCCCCAATAGCAAGCAATCCAAAACAGTCCAGTGGAGCCTGAGCGGTGGGTGTTGCCTTCCAACACACTTCCGGTGATGTCAAGGGGTGTGGCATATGCAAATGAGTTATGCTAATGAGCTCCTGCACCTCTTTTTCTACGAAATGACCCCTGGCTGTGCAGATTTTTTTGGTAGCAGCTGCCACCACAGTACAAGGACGTACACTGTGTGACTGAAGTTAAGGTGTGGCCATTGTTTTGTGGCTGGCTCCTCCTCCTGGGACAGCCATTTTGGGACTCTGCCCACTATGCTGTGCCAGAATTCCAAAGGTGCCTGCGGTTCAAAAAGGTTGGGAACCCCCCCCCCCCCCAGCGTCGTGCTCCCCCCCCCCCCCCCAGTGCTTTCCTGTTTCTGAACCACCAGGGGAGAACTGACGGGGCAGTGCAGCAGCTACAGGGGTGGACTAAGGCTGCGCACGCCCAGATTCAAATTTCTGACCTTCCCTGCAGGGCTGTTGAGGATAAAGAGGAGGAGGGGAGACCGCTGTATGCTATCCCTGGAGAAAGGGCCATGAATGGATACAACAGATGGGATCGATGTTCCCTCTAAGCCGTTGAGTCTTGTGGGCAAAAATTCTACTCTGTGAGCGACTGGGCATTAAAGCTGTGAGCGAGCGATTTGGCTGCTGCATGAATTAGTTTGCTCCGGAGCCCTCCTTCCTGAGCTACGACAGAAATGTGTGAGCCGGAGGCTAAAAAACTGTGAGCTGGCTCACACTGACTCCGCTTAGAGGGAACACTGGCATGGGATGGGTCAGATGTAGCATGGTGAGATTGTGTGCATTCATCTGCGATGTTTCTGGAACTCAGCTGTTTGAACATGTTAGAAACAAAGAGGTGCTAGATGGTACCTTACTTAGAGAGCCAGTTTGATGTAGTGGTTAAGAGCGGTGGACTGGACTCTAACCTGGAGAACCGGGTTCAGTTCCCCACTTCCCCACTTGAAGCTAGCTGGGTGACTCTCAGCCAGAATGTAAGCACAGCTCGTCACCTAGTGGTGCCAGAAAAGAGCTACAGCTTCGGCAGCCAGACAATCTCTTCCGGGATCTCCTGGCTATTCCACGCACAATGCCATACGATAATCAATTAATCTAACCTTACTTAGGACGGAGGAAGTTCCAGACTAAAGGGCACTTCCATTGCAGAGGAGCTGCTTACATCAGAGCAAGGTTTCCAACTTTGCCTTAGTGGTGAGGGCCCGTGACCTGTACAAACCACCATGGCAAGTATCATGCCTGTAGACTGAACCAGTGTTCCCTCTAAGCTGAGTCAGTGTGAGCTAGCTCACAGTTTTTTAACCTCTGGCTCACATATTTTTGCCTTAGCTCAGGAAGGATGGCTCCAGAGCAAATTGATTTATGCAGTAGCCAAATCGCTGGCTCCCAGCTTTAATGCCAGTAGCTCACAAAGTTGAATTGTTGCTCACAAGACTCCACAGCTTAGAGGGAGTATTGGACTGAACTACTGCAATGTTTTCTCATTGGGGCTACCCTTGAAGACTGTTCGAAAACTGCAACTAGTGCAGAATGCTGCAGCTAGAATACTGGCCAAGGCCAGCTATCAGGACCATGTGACCTCGATACCATAGCCATTACGCTGGCTACTGATCCACCCCTGAGCCCAATTCAAGGCACTGGTTTCGACCTTTAACGTCCCACGTGGCTTGGAAGTGGGGTTATCTAAAGAAGCACCTTCTCCCACACTTTCCTGTCTGGGAATTCAGATCACAGGGAGAGGCCCTCCTGAGTGTCCCATGAATTGGTTGGTGGGAACACGAGACAGGGCCCTTTCGGTGCCGGCCCCACGATTACGGAACAACCTCCCCAGAGAGGTGCACCTGGCCCCCTCCCTTTCGATCTTCAGGAGGTAGTCAAAGATGGTTTTATTTAGGACTGTGAATTTTTTAAAAGATATTGTAGCATTGGAAAACGTGCAGAAAACGACAACTAAAACGATTGAGGGGATGGAACACTCTCCTTGTGAAGACAGGTTAGAGAGGTTAGGGGTCTTTAGCTCGGAGACACAACGGCTGAGGAGTGACACATGCATAGAAGGTAGAGAAAGAAGTCCTTTTCTCTCTTTCTCACAATACAAGCTCCTGGGCACTCGAAATTAATGAGCAGTAAATTTAGAACAGATAAAAGGAAGCACTTCTTCACCCAAAGAGTCATTAACACGTGGGATTCACTGCCACAGGAGGGGGTGGTGGCAGCTACAAGCACAGACGGCTCCAAGAGGATAAACATCTGGAGCAGAGGTCCATCAGTGGCCATTAGCCACAAGGTACAGATGAAATACCCTGCCTGGGGGCAGTGATGCTCTGTCTTCTTGGTGCTTGGGGGGAAACAGTGGGAGGGCTTCTGGAGTTCTGGACCCGCTGTTGGACTCCATGAGGGTACCTGAGTTTTGGCCACTGTGTGATACAGAGTGTTGGACTGGGTGGGCCATTGGCCTGATCCAACATGGCTTTTCTTATGTTCTTATGTCCGGGGCCAGTGATGCTCTGTATTGGTGGTGGTTGGGGGGCCACAGTGGGAGGGCTTCTGGAGTTCTGGTCCCGCTGTTGGACCCCATGAGGGCCATGGTGCTGGGGGGGGGGGCAACAGTGGAAGACTTGTGGAGCCCTGGACCCACTGCTGGACCTCCTGATGGCACCTGGTATTTTTGGCCGCTGTGTGACAGAGTGTTGGACTGGGTGGGCCACTGGTCTGATCCAACATGGCTTCTCTTATGTTCTTATGTCTGGGGCAAGTGATGCTCTGTCTTCTTGGTGCTTGGGGGGCGGGGCAACAGTGGGAGGGCTTCTAGTGTCCTGGCCCCACTGGTGGACCTCCTGATGGCACCTGGTATTTTTGGCCACTGTGTGACACAGAGTGTTGGACTGGATGGGCCACTGGCCTGACCCAGCATGGCTTTCTTATGTTCTTAAGCAATCCTAAATTGCGAATTTAAATTTTGGGTCTTATGTATCCAATATTATGCATTTTATCCATATTGTAATCTCCCTTGAGCTCTGGCAGGAAGCAAGGTGGCTAAAGATGTTTTTAATAAACTAAAGAATAAAATAGCTTTAACCGGCCACATCTTAAATGGGACATCTGAGGGAGTGGCTACACATGCCTGTTTAAAAACTTGATGAGAACTAGTGGCCACCTTTCAGTCCTCCAACTACAGACAGCACACACGGGCTTCAAAGGTAAATGAAGATCTGACTGCAGCTGTAACTGGTTTGCGGAGGGGTGGAAAGCAGGTTAAAACGGAAGAGGAAAGATCAGGCTGGTACTTACACTTTTTGTAATTCTTCCACTAATGATGCAAAGGAACCCTTGGGGAAAAGAAGATGCAAAAGAGATTACAGTTAGAGGGAAATGACTGCCAGGCGAGGGCCATAAAACCTGAATTATTTAATCTCGACAGCTCTGAGTGCACCTTCACAGTCCCTCCTGAAGCAGAACAAAAGATCCAGGGAACCAGCTCGCAGCAGCTTTGCGTATGGAAAGGCGCTGTGGCTCAGTGGTAAGGCACCTGCTTGGCATGCAGAAGTTCCTAGGTTCAATCCCCGGCATCTCCAGTTGAAAGGGCCAGGCAGAAGGTGATGAGAAAGACTGACCTTGATAGACTAATGGTCTGATTCAGTATAAGGCAGCTTCCTGTGTTCATGTTTATTAGGGAGGGGCCGTGGCTCAGTGGTAGAGCACCTGCTTGGCATGCAGAAGGTCCCAGGTTCAATCCGCGGCATCTCCCGTTGAAAGGGCCAGGCAGGAGGTGATGGGAAAGACTGACCTTAATAGACTAATGGTCTGATTCAGTATAAGGCAGCTTCCTGTGTTCACATTTACTAGGGAGGGGGACCATGGCTCAGTGGTAGAGCCTCTGCCTGGCATGCAGAAGGTCCCAGGTTCAATCCCCGGCACCTACAGCTAAAACGATAGGGTCATAGGTGATGGGAAAGACTGACCTTGATAGACTAATGGTCTGATTCAGTATAAGGCAGCTTCCTGTGTTCATGTTTATTAGAGAAGGGCATTTGATCTGCGGCTTCACCCAATTTCCTCCACAGTTTCATGATCCTCAAAAAACAGGATCACGAAACTGCGGGGGAAATCGGGCGAAGCCGCGAGTCAAAATGCAGCCCCGCAGCTTCAGGTGTGAAATTGACCAATACTATCGGGGCAAATGGCGGCGCAACATCGAGGCAGCTCTAGTGCGAAATCAGCCAGAGTTTTAAATAGACTGAAACAATAACACACATACAAAGCAAACGGAATCCAGCACGCGGCAGACCTACAGAGGCCGTGACACAAATGTGACGTTCAACGCACTTTAGCAATTGTTTGCAAGTGGAGTTTGCCATCTCGCGCAGTAAAATCCAGTTGCAGAGTGCACTAAATGTGAACTGAAAGTGCATTATTCAGTGTGTGTGAAAGCGCTCCAGGGTGTTCGCTGATTTCTACAGCAGGAGTTTACAATCGGCAGGGACCAATCCAAAGGCCGTCCGGAAATAGAGAAGCTCACCTGTTCCGTTTGCGCCCTCTGCAGACTTGCCACTTCGTTTCTCAAGGATGAGTTTTCCTTCCTTAGTGCCTTTCAAGAAGAAAACATTTTCATGGTTGATGATCCAGAATACACGCATAGTCCACGCCATACAGGAAAATTTGCAAGAAGGTTATACTTTGCTGTGTTCCCGGAGAAAATGCGTTCGGTACCACTGAACGCCTCACGTCATACACCCTGGCCTTCTGAACTTGGAAGATGGACGGAAGGGTCAAGATGAAATTCCTGGCTGATCTGAGCCCCGTAGGGCTGTCTCCAAGTTCTAATGCGCACAAGACATTCAGCAGTAATAATGAGCTACAAAAAATGAGTGTGTCCACATTAGAAGTGGTGGTGGAAAGTGCCGTCGAGTCGCAACTGACTGAGGGTGACTGTAATGATCTGGGCTGTGCCACCAGAGGCCTACTAGGCCCAGGGAGCCTGGCTAGCAGTAGGGGAGGCTGGGCCTACAAACCCCAGAAGGCTTTGGGAAGTTTTTGCGCCGACTTTGACCAATAGGGAAGAAGAGGGCTGGGGAATAAAAGAACTGGTGCAAGAGGGAAAGCTGTTCTTCATCCCAGGGAACAGGGCCAGAAGAAAGAGGCTGCTGTGGGGAAGAAACCTGAGGGAAGGGTGAGTAGTCTAAGGGCACTTGAGATAGTGAGCTAGGGACAGTATATTTAGATGCGTTAGGGCATTTGATTTCTTATCTTTCCACCCATTTACCGTTATTATTCCTGCACCTTGTTAGTTTGACCTCCTATAAAATAAACCATTTCCTTGTTGTACTGGTCCTCATGCCTATTATTCGGCCAAAAGGGAGGTCTGAAGGTCTTGGGAGGGTGCTCTAGGCCTTCTCAAGGGATCCTAAATCCAGAGTGGTGGCAGTATCAGGTGACACCCCCACCTGAGCAGTGACAGTGATCCCATAGGGTTTTCAAGGCAAGAGACATTCAGAAGTTGCTTGCCATTGCCTGCCTCTGCGTAGCAGCCCCAGTCTTTCTTGGTGGTCTCCAATGCCCCCTCTAAGCTAGCTGTGGAGTCCTGTGAGCAAAAATTCTACTTGGTGAGCTACCGGCATCAAAGTTGTGAGCGAGCGATTTGGTTACTGCATACATTAGTGTGCTCTGGAGCCCTCCTTCCTGAGCAAAGTCCAAAATGTGTGAGCCGGAGGCTAAAAAACTGTGAGCTGGCTCACGCTAACTCAGCTTAGAGGGAACACTGGTGGGGAATCAAACCCGGTTCTCCCAGATTAGAGTCCGCGCACTTAATCACTACACCAGACTGGCTCTAAATGAATAAACAGAGGCTGACAGCATTGCGAACACACGTGGGGCTCTCTATTTAATGTACAGTGGCGAATCAACTAATCAGATGCCACTGCAGACAGCCACCAAATCCTCACGGCAGTTACTGCGCATCCGGGGGCGCGACTCACGCATGCTGCGATCCAGGGCTATGTCGCCCACCAGCCAGGGGCAAGTGACTCTGAGAGGTTACCTTCAGCTCATCCTCCTTATTTGCCATCTCAATGAGTCCCGTCTCGAGGAGTTCTTCCACCGTCTTGATCTTGTCATCCTTGTCTGTGATGCTGAGGGGAGGAGAAAGATGCTCGTTCTATAGCAAAATTAGCTTGGAGTACAGTTGTTTGGTTTTTTTAATACTTTTTATTGCATTTTCACTACATATACTACACAGGGCAAGGGGTAAGGAAACGCTAACTAAAACACATAGCTAAACAGGGATCTAATACGATACAAATAGCCTATTTTAAAGTTTCCTGTAGCTTTCGCATTCTAAAGATGGATAAGATTAACTGTTTCAACTATAATTCAGCACAAACAATATTAGCCATAGAGGTGTATTCTGGTACGTTAATAGTGTTAAACTTTCAGAGCTGGTTCATTATTTCTTCTTGTTCCCTTGATGTTTATCTTTGTCACAGTCCCACCTGACTTTGAGAGGTTTGGGGGCGGGCTACTCCCATAGCTTGGAGTACAGTTTTGGTACTCTTACTTGGGAGTAAGTTTCAGGTGGGCAGCAAGATTTGAGTTCGGTATCCACATTTCTGTTGTTGTTCAGTCGCACAGTCGAGTCCGACTCTCTGCGACCCCATGGACCAGCTCCCGCCAGGCCTTCCGGTCTTCCGCCGTCCTCTGAAGTTTGCTCAATTTCATGTTCGTTGCATCTATGACACTGTCTAACCACCTCATCCTTTGCCGTCCCCGTCTTCTTTGACACATTAGAGACCAACAAGG